CCCCCCACCCTATTCCTTTCAGGTGAAGGAACCGGGCGCCGAGCCCATTATGGTCTAGGGGTTCAAAGGCTGGGCCCCTAAGGGTTTCGACAGCCGCCCCAGGGCAACAGAGTCAGGGGCGACCGTGGGCAAGCCCGTACATGGCCGAGACCCAAGCAAGCGAAATGCTTGGGACGCCCAAAGTCGCGTCCGAGACCAGCAGGGAGTTCTCCAAATGGGATCCCACCGTAGGGAGGCGCCGAGCCCCCGGAGCCAATCGAATGACCCTGGGACCCAATAGAGAAGCCCTCTGGTACTTTTAGAGTGCGTCTCTGGACCGCTAGCCGACCCTTATCGAATGGGGCACGGGCCTCCACTCGGACTTACCCGATAGCAGCTCCCCGGAAGTGTCACCGCTCGCGCCCACCAAGGGTAGCCTGGCATATTCCACCCCTCCTTCCGAACGAAAAGGAAGCGCGAGGGTCGTATAAAAAAGCCAGGGGGAACCCCTGACGAACCTCCACGCAGAGGCTAAGGGGCTCTCCCTACAACTTTGTCGAGACCCAGCGACCCAGGTTCGCACTCGAGGGGGCTCGGCAAACAAACCCCTCCTTCCGAACGAAAAGGTTGCGCGAAGGTCGTGCAAAAAGCCAGGGGAACTCCTAACGGCCCTCTTGCTCCGGGCAGAGGCTAGGGAGCTCTTCCTACAGATATGCTGAGGCCCCGCGACCCAGGCTCGCACCCGAGGGGGTCTCAACAAACAAACCCTCACGCACAAAAGGTGCATAAAAAGCCAGGAGAGCACCTGACGGCCCTCTCGCTCTGTGTAGAGGCTAGGGGGCTCTTCCTGCAAGTTTGCCGAGACCCAGCGACCCAAACTCGCATTCACTGGCCCAGCAAGCACGATAAAAACTCCTTACTCAAATGGGGAAAAAGCCCCTGGAGGAGTAAACCCACTCCTCTAGGGCCTCGGGGGCTACACCCGGCGGGTGCGCTCGCGCGCACCCACCGGAACCACCAAGTACAAAACACGATCCCGACAGGAGCTGTTGCGAACCAAGTCTCATCAAAACCTCAGGAGAGTGCCCGCACTCCTCCCGAGGCTCGGGGGCTACTGTCGGATACCACAAGAAGGGGTACCCTAAGCAAGAACCAAAAATGTTGCTTAGACCTTGCAAAAATCAAAGCCAAAAGACTACCGCCAGGTCTCTACAGGATTCTCTGATTCGCTTGAGGCCTTACGCCGAGGCCTCATACGAAAGGCCAAAAGCACCTCGCCGAGGCCCTCTTGCCGAGACCCTCTCGCCGAGGCCTCACCCCGAAAGGCCTCGGATGGGATGCCAATTCTCCGATTCGCTCGAGGCCGAGCTCGGCAAACATACTCGTAACCTCCGTCCCGACCAAACTCCTCTAACAAAACGTCACGTCCAGATTAATGCGCCCAACTACTCCCCAAAACGTCGGCCCGCACTCAGTACAAAGACGGGCAGGCGAGCAGCACGGGACAGGGGACCGCGCAGGGGTTACTCGCCATCGCTTTCATCATCGTGCTACCTAACCCCGTGCCAAGGACAAAGCAGCATGGAAGGTCAAGTCCATGTCCTCAGTAGTCTCGGAAACCGCAGGAGAGCCCAACCGCTGTTTTCTCGCCTCGTCCGAGACCCCTAGGTCTCAAACGTATTATTCCTTCTCCGCCTCGGCCGAGGCCGGGCTCAAATCCCGCATCCTCGCTGCTCCGCCTCAACTGCCCCTCTGGCGGGCCGTCCCATCCGTGTAAGTACCCCTAGTTGCGCCTATGTCAGCCACAATTGGTAGGGCATAGCAACAGGGGCGATGGGACGGCGATCAAATCTCCTTTTTTACCATTCCCCACTGACGGTGCAGGGACTACCGTGCTTTGCGGACACACGCCCTGTATTTTTCCACCTAAACCGGGTGCGACGCTGACCACCGAGACCGCCAGATCGCACTTCAAAGTCACCTCTCGTGCCCCTCGCAAATCAGGCCTCGGCGCGTCGGCCACACAACACCGCCAGCCTCGGCGAACCACTAAGTCAAAAATTCATGAGGCACGGCATGTCACCTACAGAGGAGGCCATGTGACTAAACGTCAACGAGGACCCCTACGACTTCAACAAATTTCGTGGCATGGCCGCATGATGACGCACCAAAGTGATCAAGTACCAATTGCCATTCCCGACACTCGTGTCTTTCCACAGAGTAGGCCACAATCTTGGATCTTCCTTCCTCGCTAAGGCTCCACGTGTAGCTCTCTCATGTACTCTCTGCTCCCTCCTTGTAGCTATAAAAGGAAGCAGCCAGTATGCGCTTTATGGATCGAGACCACGCCGCCCTCACGCCGCAAAACACACTCTCACTCAATTCACGCGACGCCCCCCACGCCTCGAGAGCAACGACTCAAGCAGCCCGCACCACTCCATGCCGAGACCTAGGACTAGCTCCCTCTCTCACCCAGCTTGTAACCCCCTACTACAAGCACTTCGGTGCAAAAAATACAAGATCGATCTCCTAGACTGGACGTAGGGCACCGATTGCCTAAACCAGTATAAACCTTGTGTCTCTTTGCATCACCATCCGGGATTAGGGGCACGCAGTTCACATTTACTGGTTGGTTGAGGACCCCCCGGTCCGAAACACCGACATATAGCATAATACTTGGTGTTACAAAGATTAAGGTCTCAACGATTAGAGATAAACTAGTCCATCAACACGTGCTCTGGCAGGGCTAGATTATTAGGAGATATAAGCATATTAGTTATTGTTTAATATATTTGGCTCATAAATGTTACTTATATAAATTTGTAACTTTTTCTTTTGTTCATTTAATTTATAAATATATGTACCATAGTTTATGGATATTTAATTATTGTTTGCAATAACTTATAGTAGTATTTAGATGTAGAATTAGGTGATATTTTTATTTTTTATAATAGTTGAGGTGGGTAATTGAGATACAAATTAAAAGATGATACTTTATGTTATCTTTCGTAATAGCATATATGAGTAATTTGAATCCAAACTTAGGGGTTACTTTGCATTAACTTTCATTATAGCAATGTGGGTAATTTATAAAAGGTATTAGGGGGTTATGTTAAATTGTTTTTCATAATGGTAGAAGTGCGTAATTTAGATATAAATTTATTTAATTTATTTGAATTATCTTTCACAATGACAGAGTTGGTTAATTTAGATACAAATTTAGGGGGTTATTGTAAAATATCTTTCATAATAGCAAGAGTGGGTAATTTAGATATAAATTTAGGTGGTCATTTTGACTTATTTTCATAATGGTAGAGTAGATAATCTCAATATAAAATTAGGGTTTTTCTTTATGTATTTTTCATAATGGCAGAGGTGGGTAATCTTTTATAAAACAGAATAGATCCAATGACTATTATTGATTATGATGATGAGATTCTACCAAATTAAGGGCTAGATGTTTATGATTATTTTGAGAATTTCTAGACTTATCTCTTTTTCAAGCGCATCCAGTGAGATTTGACGTGGAGACTCAGTTGGGGCCTCCAAAGTAATCGTAAGATGGTAGAGGTAGGTAATTTTTTATTATAGAACAAAATCGATCCAATTATCGTAATTGATTATGACAATAAGGGTATACCAAAATAATGGCCAAATATTTTTAATTATTGTGATAATTTCAAGGATTTAATTTTTCTAGCATGTCTGTGAGAATAAACCTATTTCTTCATCGTTGACAAAAAAATGTGTCCTCTTTTTCTATATATATAATAATTGCAGCCTGACACATAGCATGTAAGTTGTTTCATGGTGGGTCTCTGATATTAACCTTTAACCTGATGTTTTGGGTTAATAAATTAATGAACGTGATGGGTACGGCCGTTCATTAATTAACCTAGTGCCATTCACCAAAAAAATAATTAATCAAGTGAACGTAGTTGGTGGGCCCCCAAGTGATAGTTTTAACGTCAAGATTTTCTACGTAAGGTTAATATATCTAGCTTTTGTTAATAGATTAACCAGCAATAAACGTGATGGTAATTTCTCCCTAATAATAAGATTTTGGGCTACTATTTAATCTATAATGGCAGAGGTGGGTAATTTCTTAGTAAAAAATAGATCCAATGGTTATAAATGGTTAGTCTTTTGATTTGTTTGTTAGATCTTTTTGATTAATGTGAGAACTTTTAGTATTAATTTTTTTCTTAACGCGTGAGAATTAACGTTGAGTGGAATTTTTAGTATTTATCTTTTTTCTTAACGCTTCTGGTGAGAATTAACATGGAGCGTTCGTTATGACCACTAATTAGTAATTGTAAGATTTATATGATGTATTTATGTAGTATATAATACTAATCTAGAATATAGCCGCTTGATTTTTGTCCACGAGTTTGTCTATTCACCTATAATCTCCTACTAACAGGTTTGAGATGGATTATAGGATTTCAGTAATCTATTGGTTGAATTATTATAATCTGACATAATCTGAAGTGTTTAGAACGTCTAGAGATTATTTTTTTATATATAGTTACTATATAATCAGAGGGTGAAACAACCACACGCCTAATCAAATGATAGTCCCACACCCTACCTCCGGAGATATTTCAGTCACACTTTTTCTTTATCAGTTTCACTTTCAGCCGTATATGATTGATGTTCAGTGAAAGGCATATCAAGTTCCCCTCATGTCTCTCTCGTCTATTCACAGCTTGCCATTTCACCCGATTTCCCATTGGGTTGGGGCTCCGCGATCATGTCTGCCCCTGATCCCCCAGCCTGTGGCGACGGCCATCTCAATAAGAAAAAGAAAGTCAACGGTAGGACGGCCACTGGACCGTGGCTTCCATCGATTCAAGCTAGCGACGGTGGCTCAGATCCGGCGAAGAGCTGCCGTGCCGTACGCATCGCCGGGGACACCGGTGAGTTCTCCAAGCTCGCTCTTTCGCTCGCCGCCGTTCTTTGTCTCACACAAATATATACTACACAGCAATCTTACTTGCGCTCCAAACAGGGACGGATTCATGGAGGTTGTGACGGGGGTACTGACGGGGCTTGTCTTCAAGCTTGGTAAACTGATGGTTGGCGAGTACAATCTGCAGAAGGGAGTGAAGGGGGAGATCATGTTCCTCCAACCTGAGCTCCAGAGCATGCAGGCCGCACTCAAGGAGATATCCAGATCTCCGTCAGACCAGCTTGACCGCCAGGACAGGATCTGGGCCAGCGAGGTGCGCGAGCTGTCCTACGACATTGAGGACAGCATCGACACATTCATGGTGCGCTGCGAGGGCGGTCAGCTCGCAGCGCCGGACGGCATGAGAGGGCTCATTGATAGGAGCCTTGATCTGCTGACAAGGTTCCGTGTTCGCCGTCAGGTTGCAATGGACATTAGAGGCATCAAGAGGCGTGTCATAGAGGTGCGCGAGCGGCGGGAGGTGTACAAGATTGACGGTCTTGGAGCTAGGCCTGATGCTGTTGATCCTCGGTTGTTGGCTCATTACACAAAGGTGACAGAGCTCGTTGGCATCGATGACGCTAGAGATGAGCTAATCAAGGTTCTGACTGATGGGAGCGAAGCGTCCAAGCAGCATGGCAGGGTAATTTCCATTGTTGGGTGTAGAGGCCTGGGAAAGACAACTCTTGCTAATGTTGTGTACCTGAAGATTAGAGCACAATTCGATTGCTGGGCTTTTGTTTCAGTGTCTCAAACTCCTGACATGAGGAGATTATTGAGGGGTATACTCTCTGAACTTGGCAAGGACATCAACGAAGAAACACTGGATGTGAAGCACTTCATTGATGCAATCAGGAAATTCCTTCAGGCAAAGAGGTATGAATGAATAACACAATAAATCAATAAGTCTAGCCGTCAATTTTTATATGTATATGAATGTTGTTTTCCATTGTTAATTTACACCATATGTTTCACCATATTTTACCGTAGCAGTAATTATTGCACGCACAAAGATTAAGTTGGTACTTAGTCCAAAAAAAAAAACAAATCTAAATTTGATTATGATATGCCTTTGTTATGTGTGCAGGTACTGCATTGTTATTGATGACATATGGGATATCTCAGTTTGGAATATGATTAAATGTGCTTTGCCTGGTGGACATGTAATTATCACAACTACCCGTAATTTCAAGGTAGCTGAAGAAATTGAGCATGAAAGCCCTCTGTCATGAAAGCTCCAGAGAATTATTTTATAGAAGAATATTTGGCAATGAAGAAAAATACAAATGTCCTGATGAGCACCTAACAGAAGTATCTGATAGAATATTGAAGAAATGTGCCGGTGTACCTTTAGCTATCATTACGATAGCTAGTTTGTTGGCTAATAAAGCAAGAGACAAAATGGAGTGGCTCGAGGTGTACAACTCTATTGGTACTGGACTCGAGGATAGTACAGATGTAGAGAATATGAGAAAGATTTTGGCATATAGCTACTATGATCTGAAATACCATCTGCGGATTTGCTTACTATATTTAAGTATGTTTCCAGAAGATACCGCAATTACAAAAAATCATTTGATATGGATGTGGATAGCTGAAGGTTTTGTACAATGTGAACAACAAGGGAAGAGCTTATTTGAACTTGGAGAGTGTTACTTCAATGAGCTCATAAACACAAGTATGATCCAGCCTGTGTATGACAGGCATGAGGCCATGATAGAACATTGCCGTGTACATGAAAGTTATCCGTTCCCTGTCAAGTGAAGAAAAATTTGTCACCATATTGAACAATGAGCACAGCACATCTCCATGGAAAATGTTTCGAAGGTTGTCACTTCAGAACAGCATGGTACACCATGATAGCACATTCCCTAGTATGAGCATGCTACAAGTGAGGTCAGTTATTACCTTTTCATCTGCTTTTAATCTAATGCCGGCCCTTGCAAGCTTCAGGGTTTTGCGTGTACTAAATTTAAAAGGTAGTTATCTCCCACAAGGTTGTGATCTTAAGCATCTTGGAAATTTATTTCACTTGAGGTATTTGGGACTTGAAAGGACATATAGTAATGAGCTCCCAGATGAAATAGGAAACCTGCGTTATCTACAAACATTGGACATAAAGGGAAGTAATATTGGTAGCCTGCCAACAACTGTTGTTCAGCTAAGACATTTGATGTGTCTTTGTGTCGACCAAAATACAAGAGTGCCAAATGGGATTGGGAGCCTAACAACACTTGAAGAGCTCTCAACGTTATACCTCTGCGACGAATCCACGGATATCACAGAAGAGCTGTGCCATCTAACTGAACTGAGGGAGCTAGAACTTTTCTTCTGGAACAACACCTTGGAGAAATCTTTGGTGGCGTGCCTATGCAAGTTGAGAAAAATAAAGATTCTAGTTATCTGGGCCTCTGGTGGTGAATACAATTTTGATGCATGGGTTGCTCCTCGACATGTCCGTAGATTGCAGATACAATCCTGCTGGTTCTCAAGGCTGCCAGATTGGATGACTCCTTCCCTTCTGTGCCTCTCCTCCCCGTGGATCAACGTGAGGGAGCTGCACCAGGAGGACCTAGAAATTCTTGGGAGGTTGCCAGCACTTCATCATCTGTATCTGATGTTGGACCATGAGAAACTCAAAATCCCTCGGAGATTCGTCGTTGGTGCTTGTTTGTTCCCATGCCTGGTAGATTGCAGGCTGATGGGATTTATGGGAGCTGTGTTCTTCCATCAAGGAGCTATGATGAGGCTCAAAAACCTTGCCTTCACTTTGTATGCAAAGGATGTGAGAGAAATTGCGAGCAGCGATGGTAGTTGTTTCGACTTGGGCTTAGGCAACCTGCTGTCACTGAAGGATGTCATTGTTTACCTCCGATCCAGAGGCGCCGGCGAGATGGAAGTGGAGGAGGCCAAGGCTGCACTGGCCCATGTGCTTGAGATTCATCCCAACCATCTCGACTATTACATATGGGGTTGAAGGTTAGCGTGCCACTGAGATGCATCCCAATCATCCCACCCAAACCGGGCAGCCCTTGCAACTAACGACAGGAAAAGAACCTCGATCAGTTTCTCTCCTTTCTCTGTATTGTAATCTTGTTCCCTGTTTTCCTCCACAAAAGAACCTCAGTATTTGTCGCAGGTTCAGAATAGTGATGGCCAATGGAAACAGGTGAACAACACCCCCCCCCCCTGTCGTAGCAATGATGTTATTGTTTTGCTCATTGCCCATAGAAATGTCACAGATCGGGATATACGAGGAGAGAAAAACGTACCGCTGTGATTGTAATTCTGGGATTTTTATTCAGATTGTAGCATTAAAAGAGAATTGGTGATATCTCACTTGTACCACCTAGTTTTGGCAAGCCCTCTTCTTCAAGAGATGGTTATGAATTATAGCATACCTTCAATTATTGGTGACTAGCAGATACAACTTTTTTTATTCAAAATTGAGCTCCCAGCGACGTTTTTTTTTTTTTTTTGAAAATCACCTCCCAGATACCTGCAATATTTTTATTAGCATTTCAACCTCAAACCAGAATATGTTAAGTTTTGTGGTAACATTGGATCACAGTGAAACTTGCAGATATTTAAGGCTTGCATGTATAACAACAATGATATGGATACAAAGGATCAGTATACCTTTTGGCAACTGCTTCCTTTAGTTAGGATCTTCTTTTGGAACTGTTAATCTTAGGAAAGTAACCCTCAGCAATTTTCAGAGGCCCAGGTATAGTGCAAGGACTGAGAAGTCAAGGTATGGGCCCTGGTGGGCTTCTAACTATCGTGGGTCGTCCTGAGTACAGAAAGTGAGCAGCAACACAACTTGTATCGTGGACCTAAACCATCTGATTATATTCTTTGAAAGACGAAATGCACTATTCATGGTCGAAGAAAAATCAAACTAATCTCCAAAACGTCAGAACCGTTACAGAGTACAAACTCGAATATACAGCCTTATGTACACTGGCAATTCAAACAGCACCTCCAAATCAGTTGCTTAGGTCCTCTCAATTTCAAATCATTTCAAATCATTTCACAAATGTTTTCAAACTCTTTTTTCAATCACCACTCGATCCTAGCAATGCATGCAAAGTTAGGTCGCTCGTGTCACTAGATGATCGATATGCAAACAAGTTTGCCCCTCTTGATAGTATGACCATTTATCCTAAACACAGTCAAGCACTTCTCTACTCAACCTTAGACCGGTGAAATGAAATTCCCCACAAATATACCTTTGCCTTGTGCATTCCATTCCATCTCCATCTTTGGTGATGCCACACAAGCATCCACCTCCATCAAGCCACATATAATCAACGCAAGTGTTCCATGGCTTGATACCTTGTAGATGATGCGATCCACTTTAGGTCATTACATGGCCTTATTGGTTCATCAATCACAACCGCTTGCTCTTCACCATTGCACCTGGTCCATCCGCACCAAGTCCTTCACTCTAGCTTCACCACTTCGATGGTCCATCGCACCTAATCCTCTGACTTGCCCATCATACTAGCAACCCGATCCTTCGTAGCCAAGCCTTACCTCTTGATCTTATCCACCCAGCCACATGACATCATGTTATATCTCATATGCAATGAGCTCCTTCATCTCACAAGTTGATTGCACTTGCAACATGTCCAATCCACCTCTCCCCATGGCTTTATGTGTTGCTCACATTAGTATACTTGTGGACTAAGAACCTGTGTATCTCACATGAACACATATTAGTCCACCTAAGGTTGTCACCTAATTACCAAAACCAAATTAGGACATTTGACTAGTATGTTTTACTCTTTTCCAACCATGACTACCTCATTGGAGAAAAAGCCCAACAAAAGATTGTTAGCCTCAAGTGGAAGATGATGGGAACAGGATGCCTGATCTTCCGTCATGTAAAGATAACTATTGATTTGGTGGAGTTTTGACACACACAATCCGTTGGAGAAAAAGATCCAAGCCATGCAATCACAGAACCATATCTCCTATGATTATCAGCTATGCACTACCCGGTTGACCTAGTCACAAAGGCTAATTCATAACTATGAATCAAGAACACAAGCAAGAACAAGAAAGAACATAGTCTAATATTGCAAATAAGATCAAGGTCATGAGTTGGTGTCTCACAAACCGATGAATGGCGAAACTGTTCAATGATAGATTAATCTAAGCAAAATCCCAAACTATAACTTGGGTGTCAGCTACTGAATATATATTCTTTTAGGAGGCCAAGACCCCTTGGACCCTTTCCTAATAGACTCTAACATGATACATAGTCCAACGGCCTAAAAGAAGGTGATGCAACATCATGACCGATTCTATATGCCCACTAGTTTTGACGATTCCTATTGACTCATAAGGAATATGAACCTGAGACCAATGCCACTAGAAATATTATCTACTTTGTTGCTTGTTCCTAGAGTTCGAGATGGACTCGAACTTGATACGGATTGGCCTCCAACTTGGCTTGGATGTTCATGTTCACCTTCTAAGGAGGTGGCCAAGGGAGAGTATGACCTAGGGCATACTTGTGATGTTCTCCACATGTTTGGAGAGTTCTCCATCTTGGGCCATGGATCCAAGGGTGATTACCAGTCCTAAGGCGATGCCGCGGCATCCGGCAGAAACAATAGCAACATGTCGTGATGATTTGGAGGCCTTTCCGATGTGATGTTAAGGTCAGATCAGATCCATTTGAGATTTTATCAAATAAGCTTTTCGTGGACTTCAATCGCACTCTGGGTGGAAGACTTATGGCCTTCCAAATAATGTATTGTCAGGCTGCCAACAAATCGAATGTTGGGCTTGGATAAGTATGTACATCAAGATCATTCTTGTGCATGGTGTATGCACACCACCCCATCTGTTATATAGGCTATAGAAAACGTCTGTCCTAAGTTGACATCATTATAGTCATTTCTAAGCACAGTGAAGTCGTTAAAGGAACTCTTTATTGATAAATTCAACAATACTACCAGATGTACAATAACAAAGACCTTACGCATATGGGGGTAACCCATACCCGACAACATAGGAGAATTCAGATGGGGAACAGCCTCGCGAAACTTCCTCTAACATCCCCATGGAGCAGTGGGAGGATGAGGAGAAGCAGAACCACGAGGCCATCTATTCCCTCAGCCGATTACTCCATAGACCATAGGAGAGAGGAACACCCATGCCAACGGACGACCAAGTCACCGAATGGATACACGGGGCCCAGAGTCTATGGCAAGATTTTGTGTTGAAGCCCTTCAACTGCCCAACTCGCCGACAAAAGATCGATGAGGTCTTTGACGGCTCTGGCTAGGCCCTCTGGCTAGGACCTCCATGGTATTGATTCCGCATGCTCTAACCGCAGACTGCGATCAGTAGCGGGACCGTACCATGGAGGCGTTCCTCCCTATCTTCGCGAAGCATCCTCTAACACCCAGGACGAGCAGACATAGCCGCGCCTAGGTGATGGCGGAAGCTGATCTTGAAGGCCATCTCCCAGTGGCGCCGGAGTCGATGGAGGACTAGGCTAGCCATGGCTACGGGAGACTAGGAGCAATTGAAGGGTTTCTCTAGTTACTTTGTCAAAAGAACCTTGATCGATAGAAATCAAATTTCTTTGGAACATCTTTTGGTATTTCAAAGGACATCATGAACATAGGTAGGTTACTAAGGACTGAATTTAGTAAAATAAGTAGCCCCTATAGGACATATGTTTTACCTTCCAAATACTTAGTTTACATCTAAATCTTTCCTCAATACACCCTAGTCTGCATTGCAGAGTTTGTGGTGGTGCATCGGTATGACTAAGTACTGGAACGGATATGATCCCAATTCACAACAAACAAAAATGAGCATATTCCTGCTCTTAATGCTTTACCTCACCATAATAGAAAATTTCACTTTTGTGGAAATCAATTTTTAGACCCGATAGTTGTTTGAAAACACTGTGCAACAATTTCATATTCTTAGTTTGTGTCACACCCAATTTTAAGGATAAAATTGAATGCACTAAACTCATGTGTGCCCAGGGATCAGTCACACACATAAGTTGACAAATTATAAAAAGTATCATCACGGTGTATCTTACATAACGAATAATAGCATCACATTGACTTACATAACACAGCGGAAGATAAAAAGATAACTCTCTCGTGGAACTCCATCACAGGGACGGTCGACTGGTTGACCACAAGCCTAATAATCCTCAGGAAACTCCTTATATCCGTTGTCATCTGTTACCCATCCGGGATTTTTATCCAAATATTGAAAATTAAACAAGCGTAAGTACGTCCCGTACTCAACAAGATAACATGGGGTTCATGAGGCTCAAAAAGGATGACACTGGTTTACTGCAGTTAGCACTTTTAGTAGATTTAAGATTTTATCCTCATCTATTATTAAGTTATGCTTAAGCTCCCTTTTAAACCCACGTGATCATGTATCCGATCCAATAGAGTCATGTGACATCATCATAATCATCTCGTATAAACAATATTATAAGTAGCCATCTATTCTGTGAGTTTTCCGCCGCCGTAGAATCGTGAGCACGGCCGTTATAATAGCTTTGTTACCCTCTGCAGAGGTGGTGCACGTTCACCATGAGTCGTGATCCCCATATGCCCAAGTTAATTACTCCCATGTCACTTCCAAGGTGAGCGGGCAGGGTACACTATGAAGCCATTTCATAGGTTTCTCTAACAAGTTAGGGCCGCTAGGTTTCCTTGGCGGCGCAGATGTAGGAACCCCCTTTCCTATGGCACATATCCATCAGCTACTATACACATAGGAACAGAGGCGGTCCTATACCCAACGTGGCAAGCCCCATTTGCGCCATAAAGGTAACCTCTAACAAGCTAGAAAAGGTCCTATTACTGAGCTAAAGTCGAGCCATATGACCCTCACGGTTGCAATCGTCACCCCAAATTTTTGTTGACAGATAAGTCCTTATGGAGGGCCGAGAGCAACATGAACAAAGGTCATTTGCACTTT